TGCATAAGAGGGCAACTTTGCAAAACCCTACACAAGCCAAAAATGCACTTGTTTTTCACTCATCCTCCTTCAATAACTCACATAAGGACATTTTGAGGCCAAATTACAAGGCATGAAGCAAGGGATATGAGACTTTCAACTTCTCATTCAAGGAGAAATTCATGAACTTTCCACACCATTCTAGATGATTCTAGAAGCATCCAATGATTGTTATATAAAGAATGCATCAGAGAGTGATGAGAGGTTGGTGATAGAGAGTCAAGTAAGAGGAGAAAGAGAGAGGTACATTGCCATTAAAGAGCTTTCTTCAATTTCAAGCAACCTTGAATTTCATCCTCTACAAGTGTTCCCCTTCCAAACTCGTGCATACAGAATCATCTAGAGCAAGAGGAGAGCAAGATCCAAGCCTCACAAGATCAAGATCCAAGAGATTCCTCATCATCCATCACATTTTGCTCAAGGTGCATTTTGCTTCCACTTGCTTAATTTAAGTAGATTCGTGTAGATTCATTAGCATAATCTTGATCTAGGATGTTAGGAGATTAGTTTAGATAACTTTGGGGCTGTTTAGAGACAATTTAGTGCAGGTGCTTGAATCTTGATTGGCATAGAACTCCATGATTAGGGCGTTAGAAGCTTAGGTATTTGGTTCAGAATTATCACCATTAGATGTAGAGTAGATCCATATAGGTTTTAGTGAGAATTAGGAGAAAAAGTTTCAGAGCATTTCATGGTTTCAAGAGGTTGCAGCTCACGGTTTTAAGGATAGAGTGAGTTTCAAAGTAAACCAATGGCATACATGTGTAGAGGGAGAAATTCTAAGCAATTTTCATTTTTATAGCGTGTGATTTGGTTGAGTAGAGAGTGAGAACCGCGGGCTTGAAGTTTCACGTGTGAAGGTGCATCAATGGAAGTTTGAAACCCTAACTACATGGCCAAGGAAGAAGACACGTGCTGGCCGTTGGATCTGAGCCAAAAACCTTGACCAAGACTTCAATCGTGCGGCTGTGTTTAAATTGAGAGGCGGAGGGAATTCAAGCACATGAAGTGCTGCGTTTCACTTAATGCCCCTCATGGGCTTAAGTGATTTTCGTTTCTACACCCCCTCGTAGCGAGGCCCATCCAGAATGCACTGAAAATATTACTAATTGCACCGCGTAGTCTTTTTTTCTTTTTTTAAATTCTGAGGGGTTATTGGGCTTAACCCCAGGTGCTACGCGCACCCCCAGCTGAAAAGCCCAGCGCGTTTAACACTTAACCCACCTGCTATGTTCACCCCCAGCCCAATTTATTTCCTTATCTTGTTCTTTTAATTTCTTTAACATTTTTCTGTTTTTAGATAAATCATAATAAATAGAAAATGCATGATTTTAACTTCTTCTTTTTTCTATGAGTAGATGAAAATGTGTAGAAAATTATAAAAATAAAAATGAAATTTTATTTTTAGGTTTAATATTTTTAATAGATTTTCCAATTAAATAGCTTTTTAATTGTTTAATTTTGTATCATGATTTTGTAGGAATTGTTTTAGGACCTTCCTTTAGGGTTTCTAATCCATTCTTTTTTGTGCAATTAGATGATGATTCATAGTTCCCCATAGGATTTTTCTAGATTTTTAGAATTAAATCTTGATTAGTTTAATTAGGGTAGATTTAGGGTATCCTGATTAGGGTTTAGATTGTGTTTAGGTGATGAATCCCTTTCTTTGATTGAGTTTTATCTTGATTTTTAGGTAGAGACCTTTGTAGATGTTATGAGTAGGTGTTGAGGACCCTTGTGAATATTTGTTAGATTTTTCCCCATTAGTTTAGTATTTTTAGGTATTTTCTGAAGTTGCCTGATGATTTGATCTGTTCAGTGGGTTATCTGTTCATCTGTGGGGTTCATTCTGAGGAATTTGCTGAGGGGCTTGTGTTGCCTTGAGGATATTGATGGAGAGCATCATGGAGAGAAGATTGTAGATCAAGATTCAAAGACCCAGAGCTTGTCTTGTCCCCTGTTTGTGAGGTTGGAGATCCTGAAGTTTGAAGGAAGTTCATGGTACTTTCCTGAGGAAGGCACTATGAATGACTTTCATTCTTTCTTCTCACCTCTTTCTTAAGTATCCAATGATGTTGGAGCCAACTTGTGAGTTTAATTTCTCCTGAGGAGGAATATAAAATGATCACATGTTGTTGAGCCACATGGGATACAACTCCTAAGTGAAAGCCTCCTAGTACTTTCTAGAGGAAGGTCCTATGGGTCTATTCACTTAGTTCCATTAGTTTGTCTAGGATTTCTCAAGTATCCAATGATGTTGGAGCCAACTTGTGAGTTTAATTTCTCCTGAGGAGGAATGTAAACTGATCACATGTTGTTGAGCCACATGGGATGCAACTCCTAAGTGGAAGCCTCCTAGTACTTTCCTGAGGAAGGTCCTATGAGTCTATTCATTTAGTTCCACTAGTTCAGATAGGATTTCCTAAATATCCAGTGATGTTGGAGCCTGCTTGTGAGTTTAATCTCTCCTGAGGAGGGAGGTAAACTGATCACAGTGGTTGAGCCACATAGGGTATGACTCCTGAGTATACACCTCCTAGTGCTTTCCTGAGGAAGACACTATGAGTCTGCTTGCTTAGCTCCCTTTCTTTGGTAAGCTTGTTCTGAAGCTTGAAGACTGGGAATGATTTCTCTTGTCTAGGGTTTTGCTTGAGGGCTGTGTTTAGATTTGTTCAGATCCTGTGATTAGGGTTAGGATTAGAGAATAGATGATTCTTTCTCAGGTGTGTTTGTTTGCCTGATGGCACTTTATTTCTTTTATTTGTTCATTGCTTGATAGCATGTTGATTATTTTCAGTATGATTACTGTTATTCCATGACTGGCTTGAGGTTGAGATGAGCTTGTGGAGGCTGAAGCCCCACACACATTTCCTCCCTCACTTGCATTGCATGCATTTTACTGTTAAAGCTGATGTTTTTGTCTGTTTTGGTGTATCATTGACATGATCCCTTAGGACTCTCATTTCCTTTGATAAGGATTTGATGATAGACTTTTAGGTTGAAACCTATGCATGATAACATCTAGGAGTTCCCTGTTCAAACCTCAACCATAGGATGAATCCATGGCATGATAACAGTAGGACTTGATAGTCTCCCTCCTAGTTGAGTTTTTTTCCTGTAGTTTCCCGAACTACGTTTGCTCTGATCTTTCATACCAGATGAAAGTACGTAGGCATAGGATGCGACATCCTAGCGAGCAACCTTTCCCCTCAATCCCCCGTAGTTAGCCGAACTACGTTGACTCTGATTTCTCATTCTCTGATGAGAATACGTAGGCATAAAGTGCGACGCTTTGCCGAGTCATTTTCTTTTCTTTTTCAGCCAGCCTTGATAGGTAGATAGATTATAACCAACCCATCCAAGTAAACAAACAAGCGAGGATCCCGTCGAGTACGACGGACGTGAGGGGTGCTAATACCTTCCCCTTGCGTAACCGACTCCCGAACCCAGACAATGGTTGCGACGACCTTGTCTTACCCTTTTTTCGTCAGGTTTTTCCGATCGTTTCCTTTCCCGCTCTGAGGGATAAATAACGAAAGGTGGCGACTCTTCCCGTTACGGTCGTCATTCGGTTCAAAGAATCTCCGTTCCAGAACCGTACGTGAGATTGTCATCTCATACGGCTCCTCCTTTATGTGGATAATGAGAAACATCCATGGAATCAAAAAAGATTGCAATATTCTCATTATCAACTGAGCGGGACTAGTGTTTTTACACGAAATCTCTAGCCAACCTTTCTGTAAAGGATCTTTTATTAACATTTAGTAAGTTATTACTGGATAAATCAATCGTAACTTCAACAATTTATTTGTCCTCAACGCCGCTTAATTTCCCGGAATTAGTCACTTCAACAGTCTTTGATGGTTATATGGGTATCCAAAATACGAACGAGATGGATGTTTGTTGTCCCAACCATTCTAGTTAGTCCCGATCCCGATAAGAAAGGAAGGATTTTTTTTACAAATTTTTCTCCTGTTGTTGATTCCCTAGCGTAGTGCTTCTTCCCCCATGCCGCCTATTTGTACTAGTGGAGTAGGATTCACCTAACCCCATAAATAGGTATATATAGGTATAACCTTTCGCTTAATACTATAAACCTAAAATTGAAGCATATTGAGGCTGCATTAATCGGGAATACACGACAGAAGGGATTAATCGTTTTATTTCCAAACTTCACCTTCAGCAAGCGTCGGTTTTTTTTTATTTGTCTCTGAAGAATGTATCTTTCTCCTAAGACTGAGATCGGTAAAAAAAAAATAATCAAATCGCACCATCTCTGTAATAAGTGAATGCCTCTTTTTCTCCAGAAGTTGTGGGAATTATTCGTAATAAGATATTGGCTACAATGGTAAAGGTCTTATCAATAAAATTTCCATTTATCCGAGATCTAGTCATAGGTAGCAATCCATTCTATAATTTCATTTTTTATCGCGTGATAAAATAATTCCCCAAACAAAGGAATTGTACAATACAGTACGAAATAACGTAAAAATGGACTTATTAATCAAATTACTTTATTCTACGGTAGGCTTTGAAGTTGAAGTAGAATTTTTTTTTTTTTAGTTTCAATTGATTGTATTGTGTGCGCTTACGCAAATGGGATATAAATGCCTCACTATTCACTCGGTTTAGGGACATAATCATTATGTAGGAGAGATGGCCGAGTGGTTCAAGGCGTAGCATTGGAACTGCTATGTAGGCTTTTTGTTTACCGAGGGTTCGAATCCCTCTCTTTCCGCACCCTTACCAAGTTCATCAATGTTACTGACGTCAATGTTTTAAATAATATATAGATAAAATTATTGCAACTTTTATATGCATTCTCTATTCCTAATTTGTTTCTGTAATATAGAAAATTGTGCATAAAGTGGGCAAGGAATAACAATTTTGCTACACCCACTTCTATACACGAATGGGGGGGGAAAATACTCGGATCAAAATTCTTGTTATTTTAACGAGGTTTAAGTCTGACGAGAATAATATTCTACAACCAGCAATTCATTAATTTTCAAACCAACCCATTTACTATCTATTATTTGATTGACTAATCCTTTATATTGGTCTGGATGAAGAGTCAAATGGGTTGGCACTCTTTTGCGGGGGGCTGATTTAAGAGAATTTTGAATTATAGTTCTCGATTTTTGTTCATCCTTGGCTGTAATAATATCTTTAGGTTTACAACGATAACTTGGTATATCTACTATACGACCATTAACTAAAACATGTCTGTGGTTAACTAATTGACGGGCTTCAGGAATAGTCGCAGCCATACCCAATCGAAAAAGTATGTTATCTAAGCGCATTTCTAGTAATTGGAGTAAAACCTGGCCGGTTGACCCTTTCGCTTTTCCAGCGATACGAACGTATTTAAGCAATTGTCGTTCTGTAAGACCATAATGAAAACGCAATTTTTGTTTTTCTTCTAAACGAATACGATATTGAGATTTTTTACTGGAGAGCGATTCTTCGCTTCCAACTCTTCTAACTGGAAGCTCTTTTCTGGTTAGTCCTGGTAAAGCCCCCAGACGGCGTATTTTTTTGAAACGAGGCCCTCTGTAACGTGACATAAACACTCCTTTTTAAAATGGAAAATCTCATAAAGAAAAATCAAAACTAAACTAAATGACAAATATGATATTATAAATGAAGTGAAATCTACTTCAAGTATTGTACTATTAAAGTATTGTACTACTGTAGTACAAAGAAGAATTAGAAGGATTCTATCAGTATCCGAATGGAATTATATTCTATCGATATAGAAATAAAAAAGAAATAAAAAAAGCCGGCTATCGGAATCGAACCGATGACCCTCGCATTACAAATGCGATGCTCTAACCTCTGAGCTAAGCGGGCTCTCAGAACACAAATTGTGGCCCATAGGCCCAAAATAAACACCAATGGATGTAAACAGTTCCAGCATATAATTCTCAGAATACAAATGAAAAAACATCCTAATGCGATATGATATCAATCTCAAAGAAAAAACGGGGGATATGGCGAAATTGGTAGACGCTACGGACTTAATTGGATTGAGCCTTGGTATGGAAACTTACCAAGTGAAAACTTTCAAATTCAGCGAAACCCTGGAATTCAAAATGGGCAATCCTGAGCCAAATCCTTCTTTCCGAAAACAAATAAAAGTTCAGAAAGTGAAAATAAAAAAAGGATAGGTGCAGAGACTCAATGGAAGTTGTTCTAACAAATGGAGTTGACAACATTCAATTGATTAATGAAGATTTCTAACTTCTATTTGTAAATATTTGGATTCTATCACAATTGAAACATTAGAATCAAATCAATTACAACTGGAAGAAAAAATCAATGAATAGAATATTCATTGCTCAAATCAGTCACTCCAACATAATCTGATGGATCAGTTGAATAACTTATTAATCAGACGAGAATAAAGATAGAGTCCCATTCTACATGTCAATACCGACATCAATGAAATTTTGAGTAAGAGGAAAATCCGTCGACTTTAGAAATCGTGAGGGTTCAAGTCCCTCTATCCCCAAAAAATTTCCCTCCTATATTCTGGCCCTTTTTGGATTTACTTGACATAGACTCAAGTAATTTCTTAGATTTCGGATGGTGCGTCAAGAATGGTCGGGATAGCTCAGACGGTAGAGCAGAGGACTGAAAATCCTCGTGTCACCAGTTCAAATCTGGTTCCCGGCAACTCATTATGTATGAGTATCTATTCCCATATTTCTTTTGAAAAAAGGGAATAGATACATATTTATTAGTGGTCTTAATCATCCTACATAATTTATGTAGGCGTACGGCGATATGCTCTTTCTAGATGAAGAATGAATGGATGTATATTCTAGGGATCAAAAGGAAGTATGAAAATGAATGATTCAAGTTTGTTTTGATTTTTTCTGCGCTGCAATAACAATTGTTAATATTTCAATTGAAACAATATTCAAATGCTTCAATTAGTTGCTTGAAACACCAAGCAGAACTTTTTCAGTTCATCCTATTGGCTCGTCCGAAATCAGTATTGCTCCATCCCATTTTTGAATCTCAATGAATCCCTCTTATAATAAGAGAGGAATGAAACCTCTATTATTCTGACTAATCGATAAGTCAATGGACATACAGATATTTCTTTCTTTAATATCTGGGGTTGTCGAAGTTAAGATTACTTTCTTATTTTTCGCATTTAGTGAGCATCTTGTATTTCATAAAAATTAGGGGCGATATAATCTTTACGCAAAGGCCATCCTATCCAACTTTCGGGCATTAAAATACGTTTCAGACGCGGATGATTATCATAATAGATTCCTAACATATCATAAGATTCCCTTTCTTGAAAATCTGCACTTTTCCAAACCCAGAAAATAGAAGGAATTCTCGGATTTTGCCTTGGGGTAAATACTTTTATGCATACCTCTTCGGGTTGATCTAGACTATACTCTATTCTCGTAAGATGATAGACACTCGCTAATAGTCCTCCTGGTGCTACATCATAGGCACATTGGGAACGTAGATAATTGTAACCATATACATATAAAATAACAGCAATCGAATGCCAATCCTCGGGCTTTATTTGTAAAGTCTCTATTCCTTGGTAATCAAAACCCAAAGATCTATGAACTATTCCGTGTTTGACTAGCCAAGCAGACAAATTACCTTGCATTTTTTGATTTCTCCCGAGTTTTTTATAAGATTGGTATAAGTATTTACCATTTATTTCCATTACAATGAAATTTTGTCAGATTGACTTGCTTGCTATTTCTTATTGTATTTTGTACAAAAGGATCCTGTTTAATTCACTTTTTCGTTCGTCGGAGGATACTTCATTTTTTTATATTTCCAAAATGTGTCCGAGGTTATCTCGGAAATAGATGATGGTTGATAGAATAATCCTTTATTAGAATTGCCGGTATGAGTACTGTGTCCAACATCAAATTTGTGGTTGGTAGTAAAACACCTACGTTGATAACTAATTGGATCTTCATAGATTTCTCGAGATATTTTCTTACGAAGTTTTGTTATAGCATCTATAACCGCTTCCGGTTTAGGTGGACAGCCCGGCAAATAGACATCCACAGGAATTAGCTTATCCACGCCCCGAACAGTACTATAAGAATCGGTACTGAACATACCTCCTGTAATTGTACAAGCTCCCATAGCAATAACATATTTTGGTTCGGGCATTTGCTCATATAATCGAACTAAAGAAGGAGCCATTTTCATAGTTACGGTGCCCGCTGTTAAAATGAGGTCTGCCTGCCTAGGACTAGAGCGTGGTACCAGTCCATAACGATCGAAGTCAAATCGCGATCCTATTAATGAAGCAAATTCAATGAAGCAACAACTAGTACCATAGAGAAGCGGCCATAAACTGGATAGTCTTGACCAATTTGAAAGATCATTTAATGTAGTAGAAATAACTGAATTTTTGGTTTTTTGATCAAGTAAGGGAAACTCAATAGAATTCATAACTGTCTCAATGTTTTGTTTAATTGTCTAAATATTCAAGAATTAAGACCATTCTAATGCTCCCTTTCGCCATGCATAAACTAAACCAACAATTAGGATAAGCACGAAGATGAAAGCTTCTATAAATACGGATACCCCTAATACATCAAAACTCATTGCCCATGGGTAAAGAAAGACTGTTTCAACATCAAAAACAACAAAAACGAGAGCAAACATATAATAACGGATTTCAAATTGTAACCAAGCATCGCCCATCGGTTCTATTCCAGATTCATAACTAGAAAGTTTTTCTGGCCCTTTCCTAATTGGAGCTAAAATTCCAGAAATTAGAAATGCCAAAATAGGAATAAAGATCGATATTATTAGAAATGTCCAAAAAATATCATATTCATAAAGCAAAAACATAAATGTACTCCTATGAATGTGGAAAATATACTGGATTCATATTAATTCTTAGTCGATTTGAATTTAAATTTCAAAATTATTAGATTCATTAATCTAAATAGAAATGCTTTGTATTTTATTAAGTTTACATTTTAAAAGTTGACATTATTTCTAGATTAGTATCTGAGTATACTAATACTAATATTAGTATATCATTAATCTATTCAAATAGAAATGAATTGATTCATTCTTTCGATTACAAAAAGTATTTCAACTATATTTATACTACTAGTATTACTAGTATGGAGTATTTAGTATTCCATATACTACTACTATACTAAATATAGTAGTATCGGTAGTACTATTAGGGCTATACGGACTCGAACCGTAGACCTTCTCGGTAAAACGGATCAAACTATTATTATTATCAAAATGATTTGAATTGTTTTAAAGACCCAACGTGCATTTTTTTTTTTTGCATTGGGCTTTTTCATTAACTGATAGAAATATCAATTAGTCTACCATCTTTTTTCTTTACACAAAGAAAAAGGAAATGACTCCCTGTGCTCTGGTCTGGGAAAACCCATTTTTTTCTCAACAATGTCTTTGTGATTTGAGCCAATAGGGTTCTGTTAGATAGGAACACATTTGATAAATATTGATAACTTTCGTATAGAGTAGTAGAACGAAAAAATTCATTTGATACTGAAGTATTGGTTGTAAACCATCTCTCGCGATCAATCGATAATCTCAAATTCTGTTCTTCCATATCCTTCCTCAACCATCTTTCATCTAGATATTTCCAATAAGTTTTCTTGGTTTTGGAAGTCAAAAGTATCTGTTCCTCTGAAGAAAATTCTTCTTGATGTGAAAACACAGGATCCTCATCCTCTTGGAATAGCAAAAAGAGTGGATCTCCGGGGTCCCAAATGAAATGGCTTATGTGAAAAAAGCCTTGTTCGTTGGAAGATCTCACTCGTGTCTGGTCCTGCATGGTTCCATCCTGCAAGAACTCCGAATCATTCTCACCCTTTTCATCATAATCATCTTTGTCCTGAAATGACCCTTCCCCATAGGGAAATCTCAATTCATTGGACCCTTCGTCAAAGAGAAAGCACCAAGGGCGCCACAGTCTAGGAGCCCAAAGTATGTTTTCCAATAATGGTCAGAACCAAAATTCTGACCATTCTGGATCTTGAAATAATAATATACGAATGATATTTTTCGTTATTATCAACGACGGTAATAGAATATATTTTCGAAACCTGGACATAAATAACAATACGAAATTTCTGATTACTAGACCATATAGAATGCTCTCCCAGGCTTCTTCGACTCTTCGAAGTGTCTCAACAGCCTCGTCTTCGGCGTCCTGTTCCATTCTCATTCTTTGCTCGTTCTCTTTTTTTGCCTTTTTTAACCTCAAAAATGATACATTATCAGGATCGGGTTTCCTGAAATATAGGGTCAAATAGTCCCACATGTCCTCCAAAACATCAAACAAAAAGGAATTGCTTTTGTTGATCATATCCAAAAAAAGGGGGGAATGGACATTCCCATTTGCTTGAAAGAGTCTCGAAATAACTGTTTTACGCCTTTGAGGGCGCCAAGATCCTCGAATAAGATCTCTGTTAAACTCTGCGCCGGGTACATAAAAAGCTACAGAGAATTCGTTACGGCGGTCCTCTGCCTCCTTATATTGATGCGCAAAAGCATTATTTTGAAGACGAGGACC